TCAGGTGAGCGAGCGCAGGTGATCGGTACTCACTCAGGTGAGCGAGCGCAGGTGATCGGTACGGCTGTAAACTGTGTGTCTAGTTCTGCCTGCTGCCCATGTTCTCGGTTGCCCCTGTCCATGACTACTTGTTGTGAGTATCACCTGTAGCCTCACCTGTCTGCCTCCCCGGCTCTGTCAGGTGTTGTGCCCGAGTCTGTGGACGAGTGGAAGCTCCTCCTCCAGCTCTCTCAGCGCCATGGCGACCAGCCGGCCGCCGGCCCCGCCCCCGGCAACGGCGTGGCCAACGGCTCTGCGGACAGGGCGGGCCGGGTCAGCCCGGAGAATGTGACGCTGCGGTTGGCCTGCGTGGTGGGACCCGACCGGGCCCTGTCGGTGCTGGAGGAGTGCGGGGCGAGGGTGGAGCCGGGTCCTCGCTCCGGCCTGGTCTGCGAGCTGCTGAGGGTGGCCGAGAGACGGCAGAGGTGAGCCGGGCGCGGTCGGGCTTGGGGTTCGTCTCCGCCGCCGGTCCCATGGCGTCGCGCCTTGGTGTTATCCCCCGTGAGTCCAGTTCGTTGACGTTCACGCCGATCTCCCGGCTGAATCGGCGCTTGACTGCCTTCAGAGACCCTCCGGACCCATCTGGCGCTGCGGGCCGGCCTGTCCGGGGGGTGCAACTGTGGCCGCTGCTTCTTGGCCTCGCTCGTCTTCGCTCAAACCGAGCCTAACCCCGGCGCCTGTGTTTCTCTCTCCCCACTCAGGGCTCTCATCCAGGCCATGCTGGAGAGGTGCGACCGCTTCCTGTGGTCCCAGCAGGCCTAGCTCTGCGGCCTGGGGCAGCGTGGGCACTCTCGCGCTGGCAGCAGCGGAGCCTGGCTGAAGCCCTCTCTCGCCAGGGCCCAGCGGGCACAGATCCCACACCAGTCAGAGCACGAGCACGGCTGGCGCTCTTAAACCCCCGGTCACGATGTGTGGAAAAACCGGCAGGAATTTCCAGGCTGAGAGGTTGAGATTTAGTGGAGTGAAACCACGTGATAGTCGTTTGAACAAAGTAGTTTTCCTTCCTCCATTGCTCCCAGAATGACTGAGCTGCCTCAGAGGTGACTTGGCCTCCATGCACAGCGATAAGCAGCCTCTAACCTAGTTCTGTTCACGCAGAAGCACCTGAGAGCACAGTCGGTGCACAGGAGCAAGATCGTGATTTTTGGTAGTGGGATTCACTGGAAGCAGGCAGGCCCAGTTCTGTTCCGCTCTCTGGTTCTGTGCACTCACAGCCCGGCGAGCCTGAGTGTTCAGTCCGTCTGGGTGTTTCAGGTGCTTCTGTTGAAGGGGCAGTGGCTGCAGAAAAGAGAAAAGCTTTGGGGCGAGGCGTTCAGCACTGGAAGCTGGTGCAGCGCAGCCAGCACGGGTGTGATCTGGCCCACTTCCTCACCGGGCCGGAACCACGTGGCTGTCAGCTTGGTGCCCAGGACTTTGAACGATCCCGGGTGGTCTAATTGTCTCTCTGCCCGCAACGACTTACTATTAGGAGTTAGGCTTATTTTCATTTATAGCAGATGAACAAATTAATGTTGTTATATAAGCAAATATATGCAGATGATTTTTTTAAAGTATGGAATGCTGCAATAACTATATGTAATTTTTTAACTGCCATTAGTACCGCAGGACCAGATTGACCACTGGAGTATTAATTATTGTTAAGTATTAATTAGGAGGAGCTCTGTTCGTTCTGCTGAGAAATTCCAGAAAGGCGTTAGAGAGCAAAGCCCTCACTCTGAGCAGGTGCTGGAGCTGTCGTCCGGCCTTGCGAATGACAATCTCCGACCGACCAGGATCGGTGAGGACCGCAGGCAGCAAAACCGCGCAAAACCTCCTCCGGCCAGGCCAGACAGCTCGTCCCTCTTCATCAGACCACAGGCGGCACTGCCCTTGGAGGAGGGATCTGCTGGGAGGGCTTGATCGAAGCCCTCCTCCCGTTTGTCTCCCACAACCTGCTGGCGGCAGCTGGATGGAATCCGATCCCGATTTCCCTACAGCTCCCGGCAGGGCCAGGTGTCCCTCGGGACAGATCCCCGGAGGCCTGCGGTGACCGTCCCGCGCGTGTCCTGTGTCCCTGTTTTGAGTCCGCTGTTAATAAATCAACACTGTGAAGCGAGCGCTGCCTGGTTTTCCTTCGCCGTCTTGTTTCGGAGAGCAGGGAGCCGGGGCGCTCCGCGCGCTTGGAGAGGAGCTCCCTGTGGGTCTTCCTCCCTCTCTCCCTGCCCCCTCCTGCGCTTTCCTTTCCCCTCCTGCCCTCCAGCCTGGGCCCTAGTGGCTGGATAAAAATTCATTGTGTGTGAGCTGTATGTAAAACCCCTTAATAATAATAAAATAATAATAATAACTCCTTACACTTATACAGCGCTTTTCTGGACACTCCACTCAGAGTTCATACAGGTCATGGGGATCCCCTCCACCCCCCCCCCAGTGTGCAGCCCCCCCTGGATGATGCTCCAGTCCTCTCACACACACCAGCTCTCAGTGGGGAGGAGAGCAGAGTGATGAAGCCAGTTCAGAGATGGGGGTTAGTAGGAGGCCATGACTGGTAAAGGCCAGGGGGAAATTTGGCCAGTACACCAGGGTAACACCCCTACTCATCTCGAGAGACACCCTAGATTTTTAATGACCACAGAGAGTCAGGACCTCGGTTTTATGTCTCATCCGAAGGACCTTTTTACAGTATAGTGCCCACTTACTGACCCTGGAGCAGTTCACACAGACTAAATACACACAGAAAGCCCAAGAGAAAAGAACAAAGAAGCTGGAGCACGCATCTAATTTATTTGCGGTGGGGTTGTTTTGGAGAGAGTGTTGATGAGATCACAGCATCTTCCAGAGGCAGGTTTCTAGCCAGCAGAGCAGCAGGGCTTCGGCAGCCCACCGTGATCGCTGGCCGGCGTGCTGAAAGGGGCTCAGTATTTCTCGGGGAGATCCTTGGGTCTGTATTTACTGAGGTCCCCCCCGTCGCGCCCCCAGCGGTTGGCCTCCTGGTCGGCTTCGGTGTCCTCGTGCCCTCGGCCGCTGGCACTGCCCTGCCACCACTCCCTGGCATTGCTGAGGGAGAGACAGGACAGGGGGTGGTGCTGGCCGGCCTGGTCCTCCCGATTCATCAGGGTGTGTGTGTGTGGAGAGGGAGAGGAGAGGGGTGGAGAGGGAGAGGAGGGGTGGAGAGTGAGAGGAGAGGGGTGGAGAGTGAGAGGAGGGAGAGGGTGGAGAGGGAGAGGAGAGGGGTGGAGAGGGAGAGGAGAGGGTGTTGGGACAGGTGTAGAGAGGAGGGGTGGAGAGTGAGGAGAGGAGAGGGACAGGTGTAGAGAGGAGAGGGGTGGAGAGTGAGAGGAGAGGGGTGGAGAGTGAGAGGAGGGAGAGGGTGGAGAGGGAGAGGAGAGGGGTGGAGAGGGAGAGGAGAGGGTGTTGGGACAGGTGTAGAGAGGAGGGGTGGAGAGTGAGGAGAGGAGAGGGACAGGTGTAGAGAGGAGAGGGGTGGAGAGTGAGGAGTGGAGAGGAGAGGGACAGGTGTAGAGAGGAGAGGGGTGGAGAGTGAGAGGAGAGGGACAGGTGTAGAGAGGAGAGGGGTGGAGAGTGAGGAGAGGAGAGTGTTGGGACAGGAGAGGAGAGGAGAGGTGTAGAGAGCAGAGGGGCAGGCTGTGTGTCTGGGAGTTCAGAGAGAGGCGTACCTGATGACCTCAGCTGCCCACTTGCCCCCGGGACCTCGGCTCGCGGCATCTCTGTTGCCCCGCGCGTGGAAGTACTTGTCCGAATTCTTCCAGTTGGCCTCTCGCATGTCGTCGTAGGCGGACCACATGTCCCCCGCCCCTGCGGGAGAGACCGGGACAGCGGGTGTGCTCACGGCGGCCGTGTGGCGCAGACAGGCCCTGAGCGTTAGGACACGCGGACACACTCACCTCGAGCGGCCTCAACAGGGAACATGTACCACTGGGCCTGGGCGCCCACAGCCCAGCACAGAACCAGGACCGCCAGACAGACCTTCATCGTCGCAGCTGGAGAGGGAGACGGGTCAGGACTCAGCCGTGCTGGAGAGGGTACTGATCAAATCTGTTTAAGGTGCCTATTCTTTCCTCTTGTGTTAGATCCAGCGACAGCTCAGTAATGAACTATTAGCACTGTACCCTAAACCCCAAAGAGTGCAAACCCGAATTACGCAGCATTCTCATTTCTGTTGAAGGCTCAGAATGTGGAATGATTTCAACCTCTTCTGCTCTCTGCCTTGCCTGTGTCTTAGTTAAAGATAAGATGACTTAATTAGCCATATAGAATTTTTTGCATTAGGAATTTGTCTCCTCACAGACCCCAGCTTGCTCTCCATGAGACACACAGACAGGGAGAGAAGCTGGGGGTCAGAGTGCAGGGTCAGCCATTGTACAGCACCCCTGGAGCAGTTGGGGTTCAGGGCCTTGCTCAGGGGCCCAACAGAGTAGGATTCCTCTGCCGGCTGCAGGATTTGAACCAGCAACCTCCCAGCCACAGGCGCAGATCCTGAGCCACAGAGCCACTGCTCTGCTCTGCCTTTTTTTAAAAGCAGAGCAGAATCCCCACGTCTCAACGCCACAAGAATGCCTGTATCCCGGCGGATCGGACAGGCTTGGAGAGGACGAGTGGGGGAGAGAGGGATGAGGAGAAAGCGTGATGGAGAAGAGAGGGATGGGAGAAGTATTCCATGCTCACCGCTCTCCGGCACACAGTCTCAGTCAGGAGCCTCAGAGTAGCTCAGGGTAGCTCAGCTGTCTGCTCTCCCTGCAGCTGCAGGCTCCTTTATATAGAGCTGCCTGCAGAGGTTCCAGTCCAGACCCGCGGGCCGGCCCTGTCCAGCCAAACTGGGGAATCTGACACTTCAGAAAATCCAGAATTTCACAACCCCCAGGAGCCGGCTAACTGGAATAGGAAAACCTTATCGTCGTGCCTTCCCAGTGTCCTGCTGCCAGCCAGAGGTGCCTTTTACTGAAAATTCTGTGTTTTGCATGAAGAACCAAGGACAGCCTGGCAGGGCAAACAGAGCTGGCCAGTCCAAAGGCAGGAATGGCACAAGCGTGTTTGCGTTTGAGTAACGCTTGACCAGGGAGCTGGCCTGCAGCCCACAGCCACGTGCAGCCTGTGTCCAGCCTGCTGCGCTTGAACACTCAGGGTGGGAGCTGGGCCAGGGGAGGGCGTGTGTGTCTGGCTGGGCTCAGGGTGCTGCAGGGCAGTGGAGAGCCAAGGTATTCCTGTAAGTGTCCCCCTGAGGAATTTCCCAGACGTCGAGCTGCCTAGCAAGATGTTATTTCATGGGGGGTTTTTAACACAAGAGTGCGGGATTCACTGTACCCATCTCACAGCTGCTTCCTGGGGAAGATCCTGTAGTTCACCGAGTCTCAGCGGCCACCCTCATCTCCCTAAACAAGCAACACCGAGCCAGCCTGACACAGCAGCAGCAGCAAAGTACAGAGTCCTGAAGAGAGTCGCAGCCTGGGCAGACACTAGTTCAATGGAGTTTGACTGTGAGAAGTGTGAACTGACGCACTCTGGCAGCAGGAACACACACAATCCGTACGGACACATACTGCGTGAGTGCAGAAAGAGCTGCACATTGGAAGGATCTGGGTCTAAATGTCGATTTTACTGTGTGTGGATGAGATTATTGCAAGGTTGTAGTTTGAGTGTTCAGGGAAGTCCTGGGCTCGGTGGATTGTTTGTATGTCCTCTATGGACAGGTCAAATGAGCTGAATTGTGCAGTCTAGAGCAAACAGGTCTTTGTCCGGGGAGGTATGGATTATGTCAACAGCAAATCGGCACAGCACGTTCAGAAGCAACTCAAGGACTCAGAGCCACAGCTGGAAACTCACGGGGGGGCTCATCTGGGCCTGAGCTTTGGAAATGGTTTTTACACACAGAGTGGTTGGAGTGGTTTAGGGTACACTTTTGACTCATTTGTCCGTAGAACGTCCTCCCAAAAGGCTTGGGGATCGTGCAGGTGCTTCTTGGCCGAGGAGAGACGAGCGTGTATGTTCTTGGTGAGCAGTGGCTCCTCTCCCATGAAGCCCATTCTTGCCCAGTCTCTTTCTGACTGTGGAGTCACGAACACTGCCCTTAGCTGAGGCAAGAGAAGCCTGCAGTTCTTTGGAGGCTTTTTGAGGATCCTTTGTGACTTCCTGGATGATTTTACGCCTCGCCCTGGGAGAAATTTTGGCAGGTTGGCCACTCCTGGGAAGACTCACTACTGATCCAGGTGTTCTCCATTTGGAGATGATGGCTCTCACTGTGTGGTTCGGTGGAGTCCCAGAGCCTTAGAAATGGCTTTGTAACCCTCTCCACACTGAGAGACATCAACAACTTTTTTCTGATCACTTCAGGAATTTCCTTTAATCGTAGTAGAACGTGCTTGTTGAATCTTTGTGCTGGCACCTTGACTCTGACAGTAAGGGTCAACCTAAGAGAGGTTTATATTGAGCAGGGCTGGCTGTAATCAAGCCTGGCTGTGTTCAATCAGCTGACTCTAAATTCTTCCTTTAATCGGGTCGATTTAACTAGGGGGCAGTACTTGTTCACACAGTGCCAGATGGTGCTGGATAACTTTGTTTATTAAATAAATGAAATAAGCAAACAAAAATGTTATTTGTTCACTCAAGTTCCCTTTAATATTAGATTTTGGTTGAAGACCTGAAAACATTCAGTGTTGCAATAATAGAGGAAATCAGTAAGGGGGCAGATACTTTTTCGTGACACTGTATATATAGCAAATAAAAGAGTCATAGTTTCCGCTGTAGAGCCTTCTCCAGGAGTGCCGGGACGTTGTGTCTCTCCTTTTCCTTTCAGCGTGGAATAAACCTTTTCCCCTTCCTGACGTATTCATGACCTATGAGTGACGCGTCAAGCCTCGGTCATGTCTCCCTGTGACCGCTAGGCGGGGCTGTGTTGACGAACGGACTGGCCGCTCTCGGGACCCGTAGGCTTGTGAGCATGCGTACAAAGGCGGTTGAGGAGGTAGATTTGAAAGAACTGCAGGGCTTTGGCGGATTACTTCCCATCAACACAAACAAACCTCGTCAGATAAAGGTCTCCGTGGGCAACAGGAAGTTTGCAGGAGACAATATTACACTTCTTCCACCGGGTCGATGTTAATGGGTAAGAATGAGGAGATTTAGACTGTTGTAAAGGCGCAGACGCCTTTCAGAAAGGAAAGATGTGAGGTTATTTATTTTCCGGCAGGATGCGTCTTGTTACCCTGGATTGTAGCTGCTTTTCACGGGGGCGTCTTTCCCCTGCCCCCCGTAGCGGCTGCTGGTCATCAGCAGGGCGGAGCTGGTTTTAAATGATGTGATCTGAGCTGTGATTTGCGGAGCCGGTCGGCGGCTCGTCAGGGCAGAGTGATTTCGCACGCCGGGGAGCCTCTGGTTCTGTTGCAGACCCGCCCTCTCTGCAGCTGCCTGTCCCCGAGCCCGGACCGCTTCGGCTCGGACCCGGGCTCGCAGCTCGGCTTCAGTTCGGCTTCATGGGCGCGAATGGGGCCGCCGCACAGCGCCCACCTTTTCGTCTGCTGACTCGTGATTTATTTTGGCCTGCGAAGGGCTCAACCTTCGGGCTGCGGTTGAAGATGTCCAGTTTAGACCGTGTCTGTGTGGCGAGTTATTCAGCACTGTGAGGGGGGTGGAGACTCCTGTACCGCTCCTCTGTGCAGCGCAGGGGCACGGCTCCAGTCCAGCAGGGCTTCTCTGCGTCTCTGAGGCTGAGGAAACCGGCCCTGACGGAGCACAGGCTCACTCACCACAGCCTGGCCAGAGAGACTGGACACAGGCAGACCTGGCTGTCCAGAGAGGACAGGCTCAGTGACCACAGCCTGGCCAGAGAGACTGGACAC